ATATATTTAAATAAAAGAATAAAAAAAAGCTTCTATCATCTAATAAAATGATCAAATCTAGAATTAATATCAAATCTCTAAATTTTGAAAAGAAAAATAAAAAAAAACAGAAGCATGAAAGAAAAGTTTTTATATTCTTCCATATTTAGTGTTCATCAATTAACACGTCTCCGACTGAACACAACTCTGTTTGTTTAACGATAAAAAAAAGTTGTAAAGAATTTCAACTAATTGTTGTCCATCAAATTTATAATATTTACTTCAATTTAGTTACAATTAAAATAAAGCAAAAAAACCAAAAAAAAACTAAGAAAATAAGAAGCCTCAGTTGCAGTAAATTGTTAGTTAATTATTGTTCAAGTGATTCAAGTGATTTACAAATTATAATTATAGTTTAACTCATGTAACAAATAGTATTCATGTGTCGTTATAAATATATACATATTTACATGTTTCAGTTTAATTGGTTATAAATCAAATCATATCCAAATCCTACGGTTTTTATAAAATCTCATCCATTCGGTTTGTATGGTATATACCAAAAATAACCATATTATCGATTGTTTAATATCTTTTAAAAAATAGAAAATTAAAAAAGAACTAAGATATTTAAATCATTGATAACAATTTTTTTCAATGTGAACAAATTAAGAAGTTTATAATTTATAAATGTTCTTGAAAATTGATTGAAATTTTTGAAATTAAAATATTTATGTAATCTTATATGGTATATATTTTAATCTATAAATATATTTGTTTTACTATTGAATGATACTTTTTACTCATATGGTTTTAAAATCATGTATATCTTTTTATAATAAAAATGTTAAACTATTGATCATTAACTTTTAACATAATAATTTTAATAGTTTTAGTCATTTATTCTCGTTTTTTTTAATTCAAAATATAACATATACGAAAAAATCTAAAGTTTAATTTTATAGCTAATTTTATTGTTTAATTAATTTTGAGAATATAAAATTAAAGAAAAAATTATGGAGGATATATAAATTGTTATCAGATATTTATTATTAGAATCATTAATTGTCGTATATATATGTTAGTCATTTATGGTAATTCTGTAGGTTTTATTTAAGGAAATAAAATAAAATAGTAACTATATTTAGCGGAACAATCATAAATAGTTCTATCATAAATCTCATATAATCATATCATATAGTTTGACCAATGTATCTAGCGACATATAAAAATTGAATATGGACCTACTTATTTTTCAATTGAATGTAATTGACTACCTAATTGAATGACACATAAGCATGGGGTCTTTTTTAATTATTACAAAATTGAGGTTACAATTTTTCAAATGTTTCTCTTTTAATATATATGGGATATTTACATTATACATAAATTTTCTTACGACATCCACTTCAAGCAACCCCATCGGATAACGAGACTAAAACAATTTGGTTCATTCATATATACAATTATCAGACTAAAACAATCTATATATCCATTTTTTATTAGTGTTCTTTGAACAAAAACTAAAGATGTTATAGTAATGTTTCGTTAAGATAGAACAATATTTCATAAACCTAAACTGATTAACTCAAAAACCTCAGGAATCACAATGCACATATTTCCTTCAAAGTATTTTGTTTGTAAGATCTGTTTATTCAAATTTAACTCATTTCGAATAAAGGGGTCCAGCACAAATAGAATTTTCTCCCTTCTTCCTTTTCCTTTACATAATAGAGAACCAATTCCAGTCACTAATGACATATATCTTATTTGAACAAACAAAAAATTATTTTATAGAAACTATAGGTTCATTTGTGTATACTGTATAGAGTCAAATATTATGATCTATTTTTGAATTGGGTTAATCGTTGATGGCATCAAACTTTTGATTTACAGGTATACGTACAACATATATTGTTTGATGTGGTATTATATATGATTTTGATGTGTTATTAGAGATAAGTTTACATTTGGTATTATATATGAGTTTTAATATACTCACTTGACCTTGAGTTATATTTTGCAGGAGATATGAAATTATTTGAACTTTTAATGTTATCTTTAAATATTATTTGACCTTGAGTTATATGTGTGCAAATTTACTTTTTAAATAATAGTATAGATTGTACAGTGTCACTTGATGATTGATTTTGCTGTTGAGAGTTGTATAGTCATTATAGTTTTATGATACTCCTCTAAGTGAATTTTTTTCTTCTTTTTTGTGCACTTTTTTTGTGCAATTTTTTTCTTTTAGTATTGAAGGACTTCTTGTGGTTTTGTGATCTGCTTGTTTTAATGATTCTTTCACTCTCACTCGCTCCTCTTATGTTCTACTTTTGATTTTGGTGATTTGCTTGTTTTAACGATTCTCTTACTCTCATTCGCTCCTCTCTAGTGCATATATGTTCTACTTAGTGTATCTTAGTGTCGTGTGTTAACAGCATGAAATTTCTTGTTGTAGCTGTCTTTGTTTTCAGAGATTGAAGGTCATGGATTTCAGGACCAATGAGCGTATTGGGTAATTAACTAAACGTTAACCTTGTACAGGGTCTTGCTATACACTTTGTTTTTGTTACTTACCATTGTACTGATCTGATCTTTCCAGGATGACAGTGAAATCTGTAGCTCAATTAGAGAGTCTTTTCCACCAACAAGAGGCTGCAGTGTTTGTGTATCCACCCACATCACATGGTCCCAGCAAGGGTATGAAAGGGCAGCTAAACGTGGATGCTTTTGAGGAGAAAGTGGAAGACACTTTTCTTGATTACATTACCAGCGGATTCACTCTTGGTTTCATGGTTGTGGTTGACTTCAGCGGTGATGCATCTACGTTCTTTCTTTTTTTTTGAATAGAATGTTAAATTTTATTCAAAAGAAAAAGACTTTTGCTACATCAAAATGTGTCCTTTACTTAACAAATAATAGAAAACTTTTCTACTCTATCAAAGTCTCTCTTTATGTTTCTCTACTAAACCAAATTCTCATCCCCTTATCATAATCTGCATCACCTCTTCTCTTTATCACTGTAAACTGATTTCTCATATTCTTGTCTAGTCTCCTTACTGTGAGCTCAACATGAACAGCCTCTTCTCCATGTCTGCGTCTATTCCTTTCTCTCCAAATTGTGTGAATAACTGTTTGAAACATGTAGCGCACAATGTACAGCTTCACTTTGTTCCAGGCAGAGGGACCTGTAATTAGGCAAATGATATTCTCCCATACAGTCGTGTGTTGATCTCTAAGTATCCCCCTCATCAACGCATCCCACACTTGTGTCGAATAAGGGCACTCAAAAAATAAGTGGCTCAAAGTCTCCAAAGGATTCCCACAAAGAATACAGATCACATCAGTATTACCATTCCAGTATTGCATCCTCTCCCCTGTAGCTAATCTCCCACGCATAGCTATCCAGGTGATAAAAGAGAATTTAGGAGTGGCGTGTTTAAACCAGACTGCATGATACCAATAACACTGAATGTGTCTTTCCCTTATACACAACCAGGTTTCCTTGGTGGAAAACATCTTCTTGTATTTCCCCTTGTCAGTTTTCCACAAAGAAACATCCTCCTCACGAGTACTGTTCTCTTTGATCTTATCTATCTCCTCCTCAACTCTGTTAAGAATCGAGACTCGATGAGATCTTCTTCGCTTCTACGTTCTTCTTCTTCTTCATAATATAATATTGTTTTATTATATCTATCTTACAAAAAGACCTTTGAGTTATATAAGACTTGATGATCTTCTTGCAGCTTCGAATGGCGATTACCGAGTTGCAACTTCTTTGCACTATGAATCTCCACTGAAGGGATTAAACCCATTTCAGCAGGTACAATTTTTCTGCTTTAGTGAGATACATTATTTAGTTACTGTTTCTTACGTCCATAAACATAAACATTTGTTTGTTCTTTTCGAGGCTATCATGGGAGTTGGAGAGATCCTCCAGTTTTATAACTCTACTGAGACTTCTTTTCATGCTTGGGGTTTTGGAGGAAGAGAAGAGGATGGTAACGAGTTACACTGTTTTGAACTGCCTAGAAACGATGAGGCAAGTAATTCCAACTGATCAGACTCAACAACATGATCAGATTTTTCTAATTGATTATGTTTCATTGTTAGGGTTTTGGACTCGAAGGAATCATGTCAGCTTATGCCATTGCTCGTCATCGGTAGGGCTTGTGATATCGCGTCAGAAGCAATCTTGCAAAGGCTTCGCAAGTATTTCGTTCTCCTAATCGTCACAGGGGGAAGAAACTGAAATGAAAACCTTTCATATATATATTGATTACTTTGAAATTATCTTTCATGCCAAAAAAAAATATATATATATATATATATGTGACTGCGTGAAACAGGATGGAGCCTTAGCAGACATAGCTGGTACAGTTGACGCACTGGTGAGAGCTCTTCATGCTGATTTGAGGAGCTCTACTACAAGGGACATGGTTCAGTTCGTGACTATGGAAGAAGGACCTAGTGAGTAATTTACGTACATAATCTTCTTTATTATCTGTTAAGTGCTTAATGAGGATATAATGGTTTGTAGGTGGACAAGAATCGCTGATGCATGCACTTCATACACTTCCTGGCCAGTTTATGACATGTCCGTTCCCTTGGCCCTCCTGAGATTTGATCTCACTATTCCCCTCTAGATACTCAGATGCAGAGCATCATCTACTTTTCCTATCTTTTAATTTCTCTGTGTTTTTGCATTCCTATGTAATTACCGGTTTACATCCGGTCTAGCCAAACTTGGTTACTCTTTAACTTTTGGTACAAGTCACTTTTGTGTGCCCTTGGAAAGAAGCATCACTCTATTTGCACTCTCTTTTATGCTTTATTCTCATCTCTCTCTCTCTCTCTTGTGTATAGAAAACCATAATGATCTTGTAGGGTGTGTGTGTTTAGGTACCAGTGGATATAACTCCGACATTTCCATTAGCAGATGCGTTGTTGAACTGAGATCTTGTCTTAAGCAATGTTTCAGTTTTAGTTTGTGTATGTACAGTATTTGAAAGAAATATATGAGTAGTGTGTTTGTGTTTTTATAAATGGGTAACTTTACCGCCAAGAAATTATTTTTTCATGCATATAATAACAGACGATCAAGACCAATAATCAAACTCGTTACATAAACCAGGGCTTATGAAAGAATTAAAACCACTGAACATAACATCTTCCTCCGTAGCTAACTTGCCGGAATCCTGACACTCAAAATACGTCTGTATGTCGTCCGGAAAGCTCCGGCGAGATTGAATAGCTTCCGGCGGCGTAGACGGTTCGATTATCTCCTCTGTTTTCGTAAAATTGTTATCATCCGACGAAGTTTGATCATTTGCTGATTCTGGACTTGCGGCGGCGATGAGTTTCTTCGATGCCGGTAAGTCTAGATAACAGCTGACGTCGAAGTTGGTAACGGCGTTAAGTCCACGGTACTCTATTGCTGCGATGTCATATGCTCTGGCTGCTTCTTCTTGAGTAGCTGCACGTGACCAGGGTTTAATATGTCACAAATCAAAACATTTGGGGATAGAAGCGTAGTTTCACAGAAGTTCTATCCTACTGATATAAAAAGTTTTTTATTAGTATTAAACTTTCCCGATCTGCTAATTGGATATCTATCACGCATTTGCCTAATATAGTAATACTTGCATGTTCTGTGACCGACCCCGATCTATTACAGAACTAAACATTGGGGGTGATTGGTTGTGTTGTAAGTGCTGACTTTAGCTTTATTTTTTATTTACAGCATTTAAATTACCAATCATGTTTTATCTTATTTTTTAAAGCTACAACCAAAAACTAAAAAAATTGCTGTAAAATCTTTTTTTTCTAAAACTACATCTTTTTTGCTGTAGATAATTTTAAAGTTACATCTCTTACAGCTAAATCAAAAAACTCTACAGACTAATTTATACAGTAAAACTTTTACAGTTACAGTTCAACCAATCATCCCCAATTATCTTTTCATTTGATTTTTTTTATTTATTCGTTCTCTTAAACATTATCGATAATAGTAATTCAGAAAGATTGACATAGAGTAGAAACTCTATAAATTAATACTCGATAAATTAATAAATTTTACCGATCCCAATTTGGGTCGGTGTAAAATATGACACAAATCGATAAAATAATAAGATAATAATATTTTCAAAACTGCCATGTAAATATATAGTCCCATTAAAATCATAAATTAATAATCTATCTATAAATAATTTTATATAAGTACAATCTAACATTATATTGTTGGATTTATATATACAGTAAAAATACTTTTTTTAACATTTCATTATATTTTGATAATATTTAGTCAAATTATATCAAAAAACACGTAACAATTCTATGAAACATAAAAATATACACTAAATAAGATAATAAAAGAATATAAAATTCAAAATTCTAAAATTTAAATAAGGTACCTACGCTAAAATCAAATATTTTTTTATTTTAAAATAAAAAATGGAAAAATAAAAAAAAAATCTAAATAAAAAAACTTTTGTAAATTAATATCTCTATAAATTAATAAATTTTCAAAATCCCAACATTATTAATTTATAGAGGTTTTACTTTTTTTTATAAATGTTATTGCCAAGGTTTTTAAGTGTATAACAAACAAACAAAAAAAATGGGCCTGCTCTGAGCAAGTGAATGAATTTGCCAATAAAGTTGGATGAGCAACTTGAAAAGTTGAAAAACAAATAATAAATAGCTTGAGTAAGTAGATAGATGGGTTTGGTGATCTAGTTCCCAACCAACAAGATTTGATCACTCAATTAAAAGTTCATAAAAAGTGAGCCCGGATATCAAGCCCCCTCCCCCAATATATTTGTTAATTTATACCTTAGATATTCTTTAGAGATCTTTATCTTTCTATGAGATCTACCATGTGGGTGACTTGAATTTTCTTGGGAGTATTGACAAGAAAAAATGTCCTGGAGTTATTTGTTTGACCACATGCATATACATCTTGTGACCTTAGTTCATTTCTACCAGTTTTAATTCTATCAATTTTTTTTATATGTATAAATGTAATGAAAATTATGTCATGGTCTAAGTACTTAGCCCACTTAATTGGAGAACGAATACTAAATCCAAATTTTCAGGATTTGAATATGCTAAGATGGGTTTTACGAAACTATGAATTTACAGTTTTCATAAAATATTACTAGAAAAGGAATATATAGTAAGGATAATGGGATTACATACCGTATGTTCCAAGGTATAGATATTTATTACCGAACACCCTTCCAATCCGAGCTTCCCATCTCCCATTATGGTGATGCCTGCAAGATTCAGGCTTCAATAACTTTTGTATATACTATAATAATCTTTTGAGGCTTATTTAACCGGCCATTATTCTTCTAATATTAGAGTAGTTAATCTAATATGACTATTTGATTATTGTATATTGAACTTCTATTTACCTTGCAACGCCTCTGTATTTTGAAACACCACGAGAAAACCCACTACTTTTCCTACATCAACCAATGATAGTAATTTAGTTAAAAAACTATGTTTAATCAGTTTGACACAGTTGAGAGATTTTTACCTCCTCAAAGATCCTATGTACTCTTCCTTGGAATTACCTTCCATTTCTTTGACGTCTTCTTCATAGGTAGACAACTAAAACATACACCAAACAGCTCTGCTAATTTCAATAATTAATGAATACATTTCTACGAAAAAATCAAATCGCACTGCATGTTCTTTCCCGTTTCTTGTGTGTTTTAAAACTAATAGGCAATAAAATTGGGAGGCAGAGACAAATATCATGAGATATAAGTAATTGTTCAACGCTTAAAATAAAGAAAGTTAAGATGGGATTAGGAGAAAAATTACAGGGAAGTTCAAGAGTGTGTCTCTTCCCCAATACTTCAGTGCTGCTAAGTCGTAGGCACGTGCTGCTGCTGCTTCTTCGTCATACGCCCCTATCCATAAAACCATATAGTAGTATATTAATTTTTTAGCAATGATACAATAAGGTTCGAATTATTTTATAATATAAATAAATACAATGACAAATACGGATATCGTTGGACCCAAAGAGAATAGCTAATAATAATAAAACTGGCTTTACTGGAATTCATTCTTTAATTGATAACTACATCACACATGTATATGGAGACTTTTTTCATCACTTTGTCGACGAGAAATTAAAAAGAAAAAGTGATTGAGAAAAAAAGAAAAAAAAAAAAAGATACTCACCTAGATAAACTGTATTTGATGAGTCAGCATTCATCATCCATTGCACATCACCATCATCAAAAATACCCCAAAATTAGAAAAAGAAAACTAAAAAAATATAAAATAAAATCAAGAATAGTAGAAAGAAGGACGAGCTGTCCGGAGAAACAGGACTTTCCGACATCATCGGAATCAAATGTCAGACCGTGAACTATAACTAACAAACTCTATATTAAGACATATGTATAAGAGGTGTATGTGTGGAAGTATAGACACAAACCTTGACGTCCTTTCTTGGTCTGCGACTCGTTCCAGCTGTTCTTATCCCACAAATGCGCTTCGTATCTCCCTGTCCATCTATGCCTATTCACTCGGAAATTTTACAAATAATTAAATAGAAAAATTACTAAAAGGATGATGTATAACAACGTCGCCGTTTTAGGTTTAGAACCTTGTCACGCCTCTGTAGGAGGAGCTGCGTTGTGGAGGAGTGTTTTGGGTCGGTGACTTCCGTTTGCGTCTGGATTTAAAGACGACGGGCGTAGAAGCAGTTGCTGTTTTATCGATAGCTTCGTCTTCAGTGATCTTCTTGTTCCGTCGAGAGAGTTTTGCCATTACTGGTGAAAGAGAGAAATGAAAGAGAAGAGACAATTGTGTTAGTGAGAAAAAAAAGATAGTTGGGAATGGTTGAGTATTTATATTAGATTTTTAGTTTCTTTATAAAAATCAACAATAAATCATATTTGATTAATATATGCTACCATTTTTATTATTTTTACTTGAGTAAGTTGGTTATTAAACACCATAAATAAATTCTAAAAATAGAAATGAATTATTTCTTTTAAGTTGATTATGACTTGCAAATAAATAGAAAGCTTTGTGTTTATCATTATGATTAAGGTTTAACACGTGGACGGATCTACTTAGCTAAATGAGAGAAGATTGGAGATATTAGGCAAGCAAATTGGTTGCCTCAATATTTATCTCTCCTGGTTGATCTACTTCTTGGTCGGCCCATGAGAGATGTGATGCCAACGAGCAAGAAGTTTTTTTTATATTTAAAGAAACTGGAATATTCATAGGGTTTATATGTTATTCAATTAAATATTTTAATATATCTTGTCATTCTATAACACAAATATATTCACATGTATTCTTGTCATTCGCAAAAATAAATATAAGGGTTTTGAGAATTACACACTCAAAATATAGTAGAGAATTTGATCATGGGACAAAACTATTGTATATAGGATATGAATGATCGTATATAATAAATTTTCATAACTCCCAAACTATTATCTGTTTTTCTTAATTTTGCATGGACAAAAGTCACATTTTGTTAAATTTAATGTGTCTACTACCTGCCCCCAAATCTTGTTGCATGTGGAAGGAATTGTCAACAGTTATGGTAATGTTTGTCAATAATAGGTACAATTTTACCAACTAATCAGCCTCTGAATTAATTTGGTAGTGACAGGTAAAAAATTATATGTGCGATATGAGAAAAAATTTTCATTCATATCTGAAAATATATATATTCTATCTCGCATAATATATTGTTTACTCGCATAGTCGCATTTGTGGGCCTGATTCACGAAGGTTAATGAGTGCTTGTCCACATACCTTACTCAAGTCTTGTCCATGGTAGTGTAATTGTATACACCAATTTACATATACATCATCAGCTCCTACTATGAGCATGCCTGACCCATTGCTTTCGTGCTACTAATCTGGTGGATTGGCCAGCCTTCGTTTCAAAAATGAACGCGTTTCGGTTTTTGCATGAAAATTTTGAGAGTGTAAACTTGTTCAGAATCCTTCTGAACATAAATTCCAATACGAATTCACTATCAAATGACACTAAAACTAGAACTAAACTATATAATTTTCTCATATAAATTAGATATGGTTTTAGCCCTTTTCCAAGCAGAAGGAGACCAAGTGAGATATTAACAGACATAACCATGATCCTTTTTTTCAATGCACACCCTGACAGAAATTTCAATAATCAATGCTAGTGAGTGATTAGTAACACTAGCACAATAACATTCAATGCATCAGAGACACTGATTCTCTACTATGAACTATACAGATCTCAGTTTTTCTTTTAAGTCCACTGATCAAAAACTTACTCAGGGCATATGATCTCATCTTTATATAATGTTTGTTGTTATGTTCTGTTAAAAGAAATCTCATAAAAGTTTTGATTTTCTTTTTCTACTAAATTACTTTGACTAATTAGTATGAAATATTGATGGAGCAAAAGGAATTAGTGGAGTGGGAATCGAAGAGTAAAGTAGATGGTCATGATACTCATGCTGGCAGCTATGCTTCTTGTGGTTGTGGTGCTGCTAAGCTTCTTCACTCCAGAAAACACATTATCAAGGTTGGTCTCTGTCTCTTGATTCAATTTTCATGCAAGTTAGTGTTTTCATGATCTCTGTATGTGCGTGAGCTCTTTGATTATTAGTGTATGCCAGAAAATACTGATATGTCATGAATGAAACAATAGTCCACTGATAAAAAACTTATATGATCCATCTTTATATGATTGAAACAACACAATTATTAAAATCAACGCAAACTTGACAATTCCCCTTATTTTTTAACAGCCAACTAACGGAAAGGCACTCAACGCCGTCACCGGACGGTTCTCACTTCTCAGAGAGAGGAAGACAAAATACGATATCCATCGTTAAAAAGTCCCAAACCTTGTCACAAGTTTCAAAAGTCCATGACTTTCCGTGTGCATGACTGATTTCATCATCCGTGACGTCATCAACTCAGTGCTTTATATATAATACAACTAGTCAGATCACTTGCTCGTATCTATGGCGAACCGAACAGAGGAAACAGAGCACGACACCGTTTTGCGGCCAAGTAACAAAGAAGGGATCTCAGATCTGATGTTGAAAAGGCCTATACGGTGGCTGAGAATGCTCATCGAAGAGCTTCACTGGAGCTTCTTCTTCGGTGTGATTATCGTCTATGGAGTTAGCCAAGGGCTTGGCAAGGGTCTTAGTAAAGTCAGCACGCAGTACTACTTCAAAGACGAGCAGATGATACAGCCTTCTGATGCTCAGGTTTACGTTGGTTTGATTCAGATTCCTTGGATCATCAAACCGGTTTGGGGTCTTTTGACCGATGTTGTTCCGGTTCTTGGTTACAGGAGGCGACCCTATTTCGTATTCGCTGGTGAGTTCACTGATTATGCTCAAAAGGTTGTTTCTTTGGTTCCTAATAAAAGAAAGTATACATCTTTGTTTCTCTGTTTTTTTTTTCTTGCTAAAATTCTCTGTTTGATAGGTGTTCTTAGCTTAAAGGTTGTTTCTTTGGTTCTTAATAAAGGAAAGATGTCATTTTTTTTTTGTTTGAGTAGGTGTTCTTAGTATGGTGTCTATGATGGTGTTATCGCTGCAAAAGAATCTGCAACTTGGACTGGCGTTGTCCTGTCTTGTGGCGGGAAGTGCTGGAGTAGCTATAGCTGATGTGACTATTGATGCTTGTGTAACACAGCTTAGTATAAGCCATCCTACGCTTGCTGCAGATATGCAGAGTCTGTGTGGTTTGAGTTCGTCTATTGGATCCTTGGTTGGTTTCTCACTTAGTGGCGTTTTGGTTCACTTGTTTGGGTCCAAGGTAAGCTCTCCTTAATCTAAGAATCTAAGTGTTAGGCTTCAGAGCAGTGTTTTAAGTGTTTTCCTTGGCAGGGTGTGTACGGTTTACTTGGTTTGACTGCAGGATTGATTGTTGTGGTTGGGTTGCTTTTGAAAGAATCTCCTTCCCGTAGTCCAGGTCGCAAGCATGTACGTTTTTACTATTCTTATAGACCAAGAGTTTGGTTGCTTCATATTTGATTACTTAATGGACTGACTCTGTGATCAGGTGAATGAGAAGTTTATAGATGCCGGAAGTGCAATATGGAAAACCTTTCAGTATGGTGAGGTGTGGCGCCCATGCTTGTTCATGCTGTTGTCAGCTGCAGTGAGCTTGCACATTCATGAAGGCATGTTCTACTGGTACACGGATTCAAAGGATGGACCTTCCTTCTCAAAGGTGCTTTGACTTGTTTCACACTGGGAATTCCTCTCTTGGTAATTTATTTGGCTTAATGTTGTTATTTTCTGGTCCTTAGGAAGCAGTTGGATCCATTATGTCTTTTGGTGCGATTGGCTCTCTCGTGGGCATACTGCTTTATCAGAACTTTCTGAAGAACTTCCCTTTCCGGAATGTAGTCTTCTGGGCACTTTCCCTTTCTGTCCTGTCAGGATTTCTGGATTTGATCCTTGTGCTGCGTATAAATCTGAAGCTAGGTGTTCCTGATTACTTCTTCATTGTGGTAGATGAGTTTGTTTCACATATGATCAGTAGAATCAAGTGGCTACCCTTACTTGTTCTTAGTTCCAAGCTTTGTCCTGCTGGTATGGAAGGCACTTTCTTTGCTTTGCTCATGTCTATTGAACATGTAGGACACCTGTTGTCTTCATGGGGTGGAGGAGTATTGCTACACGCCTTGAATGTCACACGTACTCAGTTTGATAATCTCTGGTTGGTTATTGTGATCAGGAGTTTATTGAGGGTAGTTCCAATTGGTTTGGTCTTTTTGATACCAAACGTTGATCCTAGCTCAACGATTCTTCCGGCTGATATGTTAAGGAACGGAAGAAGTGAAGATGTGATCGAAACTGACAAGATAGAGATGACTGCTCTGTTAACTAATGAAGCTTGAGTTGAATCATTACTAGGCAAGGGGACATAAGATACGTAGACAAATCTTTCATGTGGATTCACTTAGATGTATTTGTTTGTTCATTGCATGTTCTTCTGTTTTAGTAAATTTTTCTTCCTTGCAGAAGATCATTAAAGCATTGTTTCTTACATGTCTATATACTGATACAGACAGACACATATATATATATATATATATATATATATATATATATATATATATATATATATAAGACTGACTAGTTGAAGAATTCAAATTGGCTTTCATGATATGAAGGGAACACACAAAGGATAGTATATAAGCCCTCAGATACTGCAGTTTTCTCCTGCAATGCCAAGCTTCTCTTGTTTGGTATCATATATTACTCTCTGGTTTTTCTGTTGGTAATTTCCAATGATACCAACTTCGTTTTCATATGACAGACTTGCCAAGGCCAAGCAGACTAGAGATGCGTCAGGATTGACATAGTAGAACACACCAGTGACATCCACTTCGAGCTCAGCATTACCTTGGAAGATCATTTTGATAATGGGAATGCTTACGTTTTCATAACTCGTGAGGTTAAAGCAAGTGTCTAAGATTGAATAACCAGGAGCTGAAGGGAACCCTGTAAACTGTTTCAGAAACTCTGTCTTCACAGATTTGTAAATGGAAGGTGGCAATCTCGTGATAACTGTTCCTGAATCGATTATAATCCCTCTACCATAGCTTGAAGATGCCAGCTCCACGCCACCAATGCTAACACCGGTGAGATTCAGAATGTAAAAAGAGTGAAGCTGAGGGTTTTGTACTAAGGGAGTGTAGGAAACTGAAGTTGAGTTCTTGTAAACAGAGGAGTCATCACCAAAGGATAGTGAGCCAGAAGCTCCATCCTCTAGAGAAGGTAAACAGTATGAGAAAACTCCGTTGAAAGTTTTCATTGTTTGGGTGACTAAAGAAACTGCGCTTCTTCCTAAACCCATTAGACCAGAAGCTCCTCCAAACAGACCTTTGTTACTTCTGCCACAACCAAAGACAAAGTTTTCAACTTTCATGTCGCCTAACTTGATACTCTCACTGCCCAAGTCTCCTCGAGTGTATGATCCATCACCATAGCTGACGACATAGTCACAAGTTGTCTTTTCAAGACCATTGATGCCTCCACAAAGGCCTGAGTTGCCGGTAGCTCTTACAAGGTCCTGACAAGTGGATGAGTTGCAGAAAACTGTCTTGTAAGAAGATGAGACTGATGGGTCATACAAAGGACCTTGCTGGTTGTAACAAGACTTGCAAGGTTGGCATTGGACCCAAGTCAAGTCACTCCCAGTGTCAACTATCAAAGTCATGTTTTTCCCTCCTAGTTCAACTGTGACAACGTAATTAAGAGTCTCAAGTTTCACCCCTGAGGTTAGTGGAATCTGAGTTTCAGAAATGGATTCTGTGGTGGTTGAGCTCATGGCTTTGATTCTAAGTTGAAGTGATTGGACTCGAATGTTGTCTAAAGTTAAGGCTCTTCTCAGCTTCTTGCCCCAATCTATAGTCTTCCCTGAGCAAAGTTCCCTATGTTTCATCCCCAATGTAGTGGATGACTCCCTTTCTTTTACTAATTTTTCAAAACAAAATCATCAGTTTCTTCTATAAACAACTAACGCAAACAGAGCAAAGAGTCAACAAGAGGATATAGAAAACAGAGTTTTATAAGGCAATAGAACATAGTTTATACGTAAAAAAAATACAAACATTTATGTTCGATGAGTTTCTCCTAAGGAGGAAAGAATCTCAAGATTCCATGTATACGTTGTAAAGCTTTGGAAAAACAGCTATAGTAGTATTACTAATCCCAATTGAAAGGAAAGGGAGCTACAAAAGTAATGGCTTTAGTTAAATGTTTAAACAAAGTTTTGAGGCTTTTGCTAATCTAAACCCATAAATCACGCCATTAATTAATAATATTAAACTAAAGCAAAGAAATAGTGTAAATCTATATATCTTTATCTATGGTTGGTGAACGTTTGAGAAGGAAAACAAACTCACCAAGATTGTGAGAGAAACATGAAGTGGAAGCTTCATTTGATTTCGTGGGAGACCATATGTTGTTATGTACACTGAGAATCTTCTTCTCGTGGGCGCCATGAACAACAACAACACACAACAAAAGAAGAAGAACAAGAAGGAAAGAAGCAAGTGAAAGATTCAATGGCAGGAAAGATGCTTTCTTCGACATTTTCGTGAAGAGGATTCTCTTTGCAGAGAGAAAATAAAAGGTGAGAAAGAGAGAGAGAGAGGAGGAATAGAGAGATTCTTGGGAAGTTTGGAGGTAGTGAAGAAAACAAAAGAGGAAGGGCTGGCGAGAAGTAGCAAAGGAACAAACAAACTAAAAAACTTACCACTTTGTGCATGAGAAAATTCTTAGGGATTCACGTGAATTACTGCAATTTTATTACCTAATTATTACCAAAGATTTTACAGTGTTTTAGTTCTTACAATGTTGGCCGCTAGTGCAAGCTGATGATTTTCATATTCTCAATGTTTTCAGCTTAATGTTAGTAACATAATAATCCACCAACCAACCATATGTTTCTATAACACCGTGAGGCTATGACACTCCGTCCATCCAAGATTATTATGAGTTTTCGGCCAAGTTTTATTTACATAGTACCAATTCTTTAGATTGTGATATCTATACAAATTTTTGTGTGTAATATGTCCAATTGTTTTACCTAAATAATCTTATTTTATACATTTTAAAAAATACTTAGTTAATTATGCTAAATGTATATTATCTCTAAACCTCTGTTTCATTCTATAGAAAACTTTTTATTATAAAATAAAATCGTTTTAGAATATCTCTAAATCAATACTCCAAACTTCAACCATCACCCATAACCATCAATTTTCATGTAAAACATGACTATTTAAGATGTTCACTAATATTTTTAAGTATTTTAGATATATATTACAAATTGAATTCATTTTCGATACAAATTTTTTTTTGGTCCGTTTGTTTCTCTCCATCTAACGAGTAATATCAGTGAGCGTAACATTACCATGCACCTCGTATCACTGAATGAAAACCCTTTTCCGTTTCATGTTTACCATTTTAACGGCGAATCTACGTGTGCGCGAAAGCTGAAACCTTCACGGGGAAATCTAGAGACAACGAGTCGAGACGGATTAGGAATGACACACTTTCCTTAGATCCGCATTCAGACAAGAACCCACCCACTCACTCTTCCTTGTCTGATTCCGAAAACTCGATACCTCTTATAAAGATTAGATTTTTAGATTAGGTGAAAAAAAAGTGATAATGGAATCAGAGCTAAAGGATATGAATTCGAATCCACCATCAAGCAAAGAGGAACGCCCTTTGCTCAAATCAGAATCCGATGTAGCCGCCGCCATTGAAGAGCTCGACAAAAAGTTCGCGCCTTACGCGAGGACGGATTTGTACGGGACGATGGGTTTGGGTCCTTTTCCGGCGACGGAGAAGATTAAGCTTGCGGTGGCGATGGTGACGCTTGTTCCTGTTCGGTTTATTCTGGCGATGAGCATATTGGTTCTGTATTACTTGGTGTGTAGGGTGTTTACTCTGTTCTCGTCTCCGTATCGCGGGGCAGAGGAAGATGAGGAGGAGGAAGAAGGTGGAGGTGGAGGTGTTGTTCAGGAAGATTATGCTCACATGGGAGGGTGGAGAAGGGTTGTGATTGTGCAGTGTGGGAGGTTTCTCTCTAGGGTTTTGCTTTTTGTGTTTGGGTTTTATTGGATTCCTGAGAGATGTCCGGATCCTGAAACCACTTCTTCTGAGGTATTAAGCTTTAGTTTTATAGTGTTAAAGTGTGTGAGGAAGTTGTAAAGTGTTAGACTTTGTTGTAAGAAAGACATAGTTTTGGGGACATTTACTGTTTGGTTGTTGTACAATTCATTAGGATGGTCCTTATCTGAGGTGTAAGCCAAGTTTGATTACGTGTGCGAGGAACTTGTAGCATTGTAGGTGTTGATAAGGAACCTTAAAGTGTCAGACTTTGTTGTAAGAAGACACATTTATTGGTAGGATTGTAGGATGTACTGACAATGTTTGCTCAAAGGAGGAGTTTTACTGTTGTACAATTTATTGGGATGGTCCTTTATCTGGGGACCTCTTTTTTTTGCTTGAATTGATTCAAGGTTTCGTTCTCACTCATGGCTTGACGTTTGTTTTTTTTCTTCTCTTAATTTGTTCTGCCAATTTGCTATCGATTGCACAGGAAGGCGACAAGGAGGAACCTGAAAGACCTGGAGTGATTGTGTCTAATCACGTTTCGTACCTTGACATTTTGTATCATATGTCTGCTTCTTTCCCTAGTTTTGTTGCCAAGGTTAGTTGATTGAATCATGCTATATACTCTAGTACTTATGTTAAATTAGTCTCTGAAGTTCACATTTTTATTATCTTCTTTTTTTCCTGGCATTGACAATTGCATTTATTTTTTTTGCTTTTGAAGAGATCAGTAGGCAAACTTCCTCTTGTTGGCCTCATCAGGTTAGCTGTGAATGTCTTCATTTTTTTTAACAATCTTTTGAAGCTCATCACATTATCAAAATGTCCTTGTTTTTTGTGCCGATCATCTCAAATTTGGTCATACAATCATGTTTCTTTTATAGCAAATGCCTTGGTTGCGTCTATGTCCAACGAGAAGCAAAATCACCTGACTTCAAGGGTGTATCTGGTATGTGTTTTTTTGCTTCTTTAACTAGTATATTCTTTAGTTTCTTACTTCCTTATTCAACACTCTCTGTTATCCAGCCAGCCGAAATAGAAAACTCATGAGCTAATTTCTCACTTAGTATCTAATACTGCTGGAAATAGACTTCGTGCAATGTATTTAACCGCTGTTTAAATATCTTTACAGGCACAGTAAATGATAGAGTTAGAGAAGCTCATAGGAATAAATCTGCTCCAACTATTATGCTTTTTCCAGGTTCAGTATCTCTCCTTTATACTCTGATCTATCAATCAAGCCATCGTTTTACCCTAACACTGGGATTGGTCTCACTGCAGAAGGAACAACTACCAACGGAGACTACTTACTTACATTCAAGACAGGTGCATTTTTGGCCGGAACTCCGGTTCTTCCTGTTATATTAAAATATCCGTACGAGCGTTTCAGTGTGGCATGGGATACAATATCCGGTGTGAGTGTTTTTCTTTTAACAAACTCTCCGTTGTCTCAGAAGTTTTGGCCTTGAAAATAAAAATCACCTTTTCTTGTTTTTCTAGGCACGTCACGTTCTCTTCCTTCTATGTCAATTTGTAAACCACTTGGAGGTGATACGGTTACCTGTATACTACCCGTCACAAGAAGAGAAAGATAATCCCAAACTCTATGCTAGTAATGTCCGGAGACTAATGGCCAGTGAGGTATTTGCTTCTTCTAGAATTTTAGTAATAACTAGAGACATTTTTTATGCTTTTGGCTTGTGTGTTATCGTTTTACCTACCTTGGCTATGCATGCTTGCAGGGTAACATGATACTGTCTGATTTGGGACTTGGCGACAAAAGGATATATCACGCGACCCTCAATGGTAATCTTAGTCAACTCCGTGTTTTCCATCAGAAAGAGGAATGAAATTTTTACTTGGCTTGACAGTGTCTGTAATGTTAGTAGTCTCATTACCAAAGAATAAAACCATCACCTTGACCTGAATAAGGGATCTGTGATAATAATAATAAGACAAAAGTTTGGTTACACAACTCTGAGCTTTCTCTCACTGTCTTTCCTAACTACAATATTTGTGTTATAGTGAGTTTTTCAAATAAATCAGAAAAAGAAGCTGTGATGGCTGGGCATGGACATGTAAATACTGAAGCAATCTCTTTCGTGTTGGTGCAGGTTTGTTTTGCAAAAGCTAAATATGATGGACACTCGAAAATTCGTGGTCCGTAGATTTCATTTATTCATAGGACACAAGGATACACACTTTTAACACCACATCAGTTATATACCACAAAACACATCTATCTATCTATATATATATGATCGTCTCTCATTTTTTATTCTTTTGCTTCCTTCTCCTGCTGAAACGACGTTAGACATAAACACACATACAGTTCTTCATCCTCGTGAGAGAACATCATCAATGAAGATCATCGAATGCCATGATAAAATCTTGCAGAGAACAAGAAGTGGAATATATAGATATATAATGTTGTTGATTCTTATTTGTTCTAACAGAGGAGGAAACAACAGTAGCTTAACCAGATAAATAGATGGTAGTAAAGCTTTCTTTCTTCCTTACATCTTTATGGACAAATGAATAAACAAACAGAGCAGAGCTATTTATAGGTAGACGGGGACGTAGATATGACAACATACTACTAGCTATGGTTCTTCTGCTACTTCTTCGTCTTCTTGGTGTATCATGTTGACAAGCATATCTACTTGCTCTTTCAACATTGTGTTCTCTCTTTCAATCTCTGTTCTCTTGCTTCTCTCTTGTAGCAGCTGAAGTTGCAGATGCTCTAAGCAACGTGAGTCCTCTTCTAGCTGTTCGTTCAACCCATCTATCTCTCGATCCTGTCCCACAATCCTTTTTAATCAAAAAAAAAAACGAACAAGAACAGAGATCATGTCTTGTTTTGTGTTTACCTTTCTGTTCATTTCTTGGACAGCGATTCTTCGCATGCTCTCAACAACATCAACATTCACCAGCTTCCTCTTCTTACCAATCAACCAGCCTTTCGGGTACTTTGCAGACTCGAAATCTGGCGGTGGCAAGAGCGAATCAGCATCTGTTGTTGGTCGCTTTCCGTTCAAGTTTGTGATGGGTTCGAGTGGCTCGAACAGAGCTTTTCTTTTCTCGGACAGAACAGGAGGAGTTGTGGTCATTGGTTCCCCAGCTTTATCGGTTTCCATTGTTTTTGTTGTTGACTCATCCTTCTCTGGTGTGACCTCCATAGCATCTTCCCGTGCCTTGTCTGGGTTCACCGATGCTGCAAACAAAGTTGTTTAATGCTAAAACCAAAGCTATAAAGGCTGTTGATTCCAAGCTTAAGACAGACAGATGAAGACTTTGATGAAACAGTTAACAGTTGACAAGTTTCTGTTAAAATCTCAAATCTTTCAGACAAGATAAAAAAAAAATCTGAGAAAACAAGAAACAGAGGAGAGAGAGAGAAGAAGCACCTGATCTTTTTCTTGATTTCCACGCGATCTTGGTGGTAGAGACAGGAAAAAAACCGCCAAGAAAACCATCACCAACTGTATTCTTTTTTTTCATATTGTCTCCTTCAAATCCACCACCTTCTTTCTCCATTCTAATCTGAATATTTTCACCAGAAATGAAACGCACACACGATTTTGAGAAAAAGAAAGCTGAAGAAGAAGAAGATAGCGTACAAGAGAGAGAGGGAGAGCTGTTGGATTTCAGTTGAACGGTAATGATTTGGCGTTTCGATTACGACTGCGAAAGGCTTTTGCTTTCATCTTCAGACTCTTCTATGTCTTGTTTTTTTTTTTTGGAGATAAGAAAATAGTTGTCTGAATGTTTTCTTTTGTGGGACCCTTTTCCTCTTCCTTAGCTTATTTTTCATGCATCTTTCTTAAACCGCAATATTCAAACCGTGATTATACATCCCACTTTGAATAAATCAAACCTCTATTACCATGTAAATTCTCGTGAATGTCCACAGTTAATTAATGTACTCGCTTTGTAAAGTTCCCGTGATTTTTTTGTTTGTACTGACCAAAGCCCATATACTAATCTTATTTTCTATTTAAATATTTTAAACTTCACTTGGTGCAATTTACGGTATGACTGGAATTAAAACTACATTATTAAGATTTTTAAAAAATGATTTAGTGTACGAGATCACACGTACAAAAGTCGTCTTCTCCCGGCCTAGTTCTTGCTTTAATTCAGTTTGATTAAACAAAGTATATGACATATGATTAGTTACACTCTAGTTTTCACAATAGTCAAGGTAGTATTATAATCAGTGACCGCTTCAGACACATTCAAAATTTTCGTCCTTTGTTTAATTTGGTAAAAATACAAATTTGGAAGGTGCATAGAGCATATGCCACGAACGAAGGCATCTTTCTTGAAGTTAGTGATTTTCTCGAAATGTGTCTTATTGCTATTTACAAATTTCTATTTTGGAATTATTTATCCCAAATGGGCTCACATATATTAGGATTAACTTTTTTATAAACCATCATCTAAATTTGGGCCTTAGCCCCATTAAATGTCGGGCCTTAGCCCTATTAAATTTTTATATGATTGTGTAGAACATCTGAAACTGTGGATAGGCTACTGCAGAATTAACCTCTGTTTGGGAATTTCCCATTTCTACGTAAAGCTTGTTTGTTTTGTCATTTCTACCAAAGTTTTTCAGATTTTTCAAATCTTGTTCTGGTTACTCAACTTGAATTTAGATGAGAACGTCATCTTGGTCTGTTCTTACATAAGCCAATGAACTAAGGTTGTGAACTGAAATGTTTTTTTTTCTTGTTGCTTCAGTTTTAAAAGTTCCTATTATAAAATTTTGAGCTTGACATAACATAAGTACAACATATAAAAGTAAAGAAAATAGAACTGAACTTAATCACATCTTGAAACACCACAAACTTATCAAACAAACATTTTCCTTGTCTTTCTCTAGACTCCAAACATAATAATTGAAATAAAATTCTTTACTTGGGAAGAACTTGTAAACAGATAAACAAAAAAGTAGGAAGGGATAATCGTTTTATACTCCCTTTGTTCCTAAATAATCCATGTTATAGACTTTTCACATATATTAAGAAAATTCATTTAATTTTGATTGTAAATGTATTATTTTTTGTGTATAACAATTTTTCATAACTTTTAACTAATAGAAACTCAATAAATACCATTAGTTTTTTTGAAACTTACAATTTTTCATTAAATTATTCATTGAAAAGGTAAAAAATACATCTTTTTGGAACAAATTTTTTTCTATAATATACATCTTTTAGGAACGGAGAGAGTAATAAATAACAGTAAAAAAAAAACTTACTAGTAGCCAAAATGTAGGAATGGATAAGTGTTTTTTTTATCTTGTAAAAACAAAATAACAAAAGTAGGAACGAATATTCGTTTTATAAAAAAATAACAGTAAAAAAAAAACTTACTAAATATAATAACAAAATAGTAGGAATGGATAAATGTTTTTTTTATATAAATTTTGTAAAAATAGTAAAAAACCTTGGAAATAGCGTTATGGATAAGGATAAGGACATTTTTAGATGACGAGAAAACTAGTCACCGTTTCTCTCTTCGCACTATATATATGTTCTCTGCCTCTACCTCTCTCCCTATCCAGTCCACAAATTTTTCGATTTCACTTTAATCCCCCCAAAAAAAGAAATCATTTTTGCTTTTCTAGAAACTCAAATTATTTTCAAGTTTTCTGTCTTTGATTCTCGAGAAAACATGACTATCGCTCTAACAATTGGAGGAAGCGGGTTCTCGGGTGTACCCGGATCTTCGTTCTCCTCATCTTCTTCATCGCTTCGATTAAAGAACAGCAGACGAAAGGACACGAAGATGCTGAACAGAAAAGGAGTCATCTGTTCTTCAGCTTCTGTAATGGATCCGTACAAAACCCTTAGGATCCGACCCGATTCATCTGAATACGAGGTCAAGCAAGCTTTCAGACAACTCGCCAAAAAGGTTTGACCTTTTTTAATCATTTAGATCTGTTCAAAAAAAAGTTTGGATTTTTAATCGATTTGGGTTTCTCAAAATTGTTATCTTTCTGATCTGTTATTGCAGTATCATCCTGATGTCTGTAGAGGAAGCAACTGTGGAGTGCAGTTTCAGACAATCAACGAAGCTTACGATGTAAGAGTCTTGTCTTTATGAGAATATGCTGTTTAAAAAGTCAAAAGTCATTTGTATTGATCTTTGTTTTGTCATTTTGAAGATTGTGTTGAAGCAAATAAAGAATCAGATGGAGGGAACAGAGGAGTTTCAGCCATTCGATGTGTATGACGAGGGATTCAACGGAATGAATGATCCAGATTGTGACACGTGGGAGGAATGGATGGGATGGGAAGGTGCAGGAATCAGAGACTACTCTTCTCATGTCAATCCTTACGCTTGAAGAGACAACGACGAGTTCCCAATGATTTGAATGCACATAAATAACGACAGAGAGACTATGAGAACAATGTAAATAGTTGAAATTGTCTCTTGAATGGCTTCTTAAATGTAAATAAAGTCATTTCTCCGTTAATGTAAACCTCAAACATTCACGATTAAGCTTAAAAGCTTTCGTGAGTTTGGATCTAATGGTAATAATATTAGATTTGAAGTTTGTTTTGACCTTTTGAAACCGTTAAGGGTCAAGTTCCACGACCAAGTGTGAAGACAAAATGATCATTCTTTTCAACGGTTTCTTTACAACAACTCTGTAATAAAAAGTCTTTATTAAAAAGTTGTAATGCTGATTTTAAATCCATTGAGAATGCCCCCCTGCAGTACCTGAAGAGACGCATTCACAAAGACGAACAAATCTTGTCATTTTTAATGTTGCAAACTCAAATTATAGAGACTAGTTTGTAACTAGAAGTACCTTTTTCTCTTCTTACCGGTTGCTGAAACTTTGGATAGAGCCTGTAGCATCAAGAAGAGTTACCCTTGCCTTCTCTAAAGCCATGTAAAGCTCTTTACCTCCGGTTAACCGAGCGATGGCCCACGCAATGGTCTTTACTCTAATGCATATCTCCATGTCTTTATCTTGCTTCGTGCGGCTCTTTTCTGTATCCACTATTTCCCTTAGCTAGTTTAGTGCAAAGCTAACTACTACGACATTGGTTGTAGCCATCTTTGGGGTTGTAGCAGGAATCTTTGGGATGAATATTGAGATAGAATTCTTTGAGCAACCTGGTGCTTTCATATGGGTTTAGACTATCTCTAGTGTTCTTGTATTTTTGGCATCCCTCTGGTTCTACAAATGTAAAAGGCTCATGCCTCTGTGAAGACATAACTGGGCCAGACAAGTAGTAGAGTTCTAATACTGATTATGTTGCGTTTATTAATCATCTCTGACCTTCACAAGATGGACACACTGTTTTAGATGAAATGTTAAGAGAATGAAGTTTTTTGATTAAGAAGCAATTCTTTAACCTTCTCATCATCTGTCTTTGGGAAAACTTTTACTTATTTGATACAGAAACTTCAGTACAATGAAATGAAACGTATCTGAACACTAAAACAACACTGTCTCAGACATGACTGAGCTATGTTTGTATTGACATGAAAACCCCTCGTTCATCCAGGACACATATCTAACTTGAGTTTGCAAAAAGGTCTCCAAGTGGGGAAGAAGATGAGGTTGGAGAGAACTACTTGTCAGAGGAAGAAAGACGGGCTTTACGAGCTTTATCAGCCTTTTCCATGTAATCTTGGTGCGACCGATGCTTTGATCCTAAAACAAATCAGAATTTAACAAGAGTCAAGTCTAAAGATAACCCAAATAAGAAACCAAAAGTCACATACAAAAAAGAAAAACAAATAAGATAAACCATTGAGATGTAACATAAGTCGTGTCTACTGAATCGATGAGAAAAAAAACTATTATCATTCATCCTTCCTCAGTAATCATCAAACTCAATTTTTTCAGTCAATCTATATATTAATTACTAGATTCCATTTGACCTTGATTCATGAGATACCAAGGGATCCCAAAGATGATGGTGATTATCCCAATCCCAGCCAAAACATGCTTCTTTTCACCACTGTAGACATAGTGCTCCATCTTTGCCCTGAATCCTCCTCCTCCTCCTCCTCCTCCCATGTTCGAACCTCCGTTGCTCTTTGTCTCATTTCCCATATCGGTCGGTCTCCGACAACGTACGTAGCCGAATCAGATTTCTCTTCTACTGTTTTCGAAGGTTTTAGAACCACTGGAATGGGCTTTTTTATTTAGTTTAGGCCCATTAACATAACTTTTATTTATTACTATACAAGACTCCATATTCAATACACATTAGGTTTTTCTCACGTTAATTTAATAATTGTATCTCCTCGTCCCATTAAAAAAAGATTAGTTTTTCATAGTTTAACTTTTACCTGAAAAGTGTGTCACACGAACTTTTTTTCTTTTATCAACTTTATGTACAATCCTTTTTACAGTATTCATTAGATGTCACGAGGATCAACAAAAATCACAGAGGATCTTGAGCTACTCCAATCTGACATTTCAGGTTGATCTGATAGTTTCTTGAGGCACCAAAGATCTTGAGCCCACGAAAGACGTTTCCAGTGAGGAACAGCCGAAGCCACCGGGTCTAAAGGACTAATCTCCGTCGCAACAGCTCCACATCCTCCGTCGTGTCTCCCAATGTTATGAACAAAATAACATAAACTTTTCATCAGCCGTGGACCGTCCCTGCCTTCCATGTGCATACCGTACATGAAATAAATCCAAAACTTGTCGAACACGTTAGGGAACGAGGGTAGTTTCATCCATGGCATACAAGAATCAAGTAATCTCGAACCGGAGCAACACGCGTGAGTTAACCGGGAAATGCCTTTCATTTGCAGCCTGAATACATCTTTGGTGCTCCATACACTTAGTATCGCAAAATCCGTTGGGAAATCGCGGTCTAAGCGGTTAGTTTTGTAACCGTGTTTTTCTTTTGGGAACGCTATAAACGTTCCTAAGCTGTTGCGGCTGGTTAAAATAGCGTTGATGTCACGAGGGAAGAATTCTGAGTCTTTGAAAACCCTGGTGTAGATTGATTCAGCGGTTTTGGTAGTTAACCGGTGGATTGCGATATCTGAACTGATTGGTTTGGAATGGGCGTGAACCGGTTGAACCAGCATTGTCGGTGTACGGAATTTGACATAGGAACATTTCTTGGTGAACAAGTTAACGGAAGCCTCGTTGGTACAATCAGTGGCCATGTACGCGTATATGTTGCGCCTTGTTGTTTAAACCATTCTTCAAGTGTTTGCACCAGTTTTGTTCCTATGCCTAAGTTCCTGCTCAAGAAATCAGATTCTAATTAAATTTAATTATTCACTAGTGCATGATGTATCATACTTTATCAATTATATTTGATTGTATAAAGGGATATAGTTTATATAGAGATTAATTAAATGGGAGGAAATATCAGCTAGGGTGGATACAAGTGTCAACCAAGGGCAACTTCTTTCTTTTTTGATAACTTAATTTTGGAATCTATTATCAACTTTATGCTTAATCTTTATTTATTAAGTGGAATTGAATTCGAACTTCGAGAAAGCAAAACATATATTCTCACTCACACAATGATTATACATAAAAAATGATTTATAATTGATTTTAGGTGACTAGTAAGTTTCCATTTTGAAGTTAATGATTATACATAAAAAATATGTATCGTGTGTATAAGTGGAAGCAAAACAAGAATCAGGTATTCATAAAAACCGTACGTAAGTTCATTTTTATATAGAAGAAAATAAAAGAAGAAACGCAATGACTTCAAGAAAACAAGTAACGAAAGAACTTGTGAACAAATGTGTCTTTTGTCACGCTTATGATCATTAGATAACGGTAATTGCATGATTATATTATTGTAGAAATACATGAGGGAATAAAATCTAATTAAAAGGGAAGACCTATACAAATTACTAACTAAAATGATTTCTTTGTCCACAACTTAACTAATTAAAGGCTGCGTAGTTTAAAGAAGAAGAAGCTTACCGATGGAAAGGTGAAACTCGAAGGCCAAGAACATAAGCAAGTTTGACAGAGATTGAGTTTCCTCTAGTTACAGTTTTAACACATCCTCTTACAACTCCCACCATCTTTCTTCCTTCTCCATACTCTGCAACCTACATACCGCACATTTTTATTATCTTAAATTTTTTATATCATATTTATTTCAACCAATAACCCACCTAGACATGATCATATATAGTACATGTGTAAGGCGATTGTTTAACTATAACTTACCAGCATAGTGTGAGAGGGAAAATGACGGACGCGACCAACCGGATCGCCTAATAGATCAGACACCATTGCCGGTTTGCCATGCGGTCCGGTCTCATCACATTCACGTTCCATCTCCTCCACGTCACGCTTGTCGGTTTCTTCATCGTATTCTCTCACCACCACATCCGCAGCAACCTCTGCCGCTATTTTACTCCACATTTATGCGTTTTCTCGTATTGAGTCGAGAACATGCAAATGTCTTTTTGTTTTTGGTTATATATATATTTTTTTTATTTGCTTGAGAGAGGTTTTCTTGATTTATTGGTGGTTATAAGTTGGAGTCCTGTCGTGATGTCATGTATATATAGATTGATAGAGACGATTACGAGGCAGATTTGTAAAGTTTATGGGAACCTTTTATTGTTTAAAAATCCTGTTAAACAATTAAATTATGCATGCAACGATAGCGATAGCTATGACATTTTATCTTTTTAAAATTATCACATTATTAATGCTTTACGTATTCATGCAGTTTCTGATTTGTCGAAACCATTTTTAAATTAGTTATTGTGTGTGATCGGAAATATAAGACAGGAAATCTGATTATCGATAGACAAAAAAAAAGTTATAACAACTAATCAAATTAAAGCCCCTTTACAAAAACAAACAAACAAATTATTTCGATAATATTGAGACGATTCTTATGTTAAAAATAGAATCAAGCACGACGGGTGACATGGTAGTAAAACTCTGATATTTGATTAAAGTATTAATCAGATGTGAATGCTCAGATGATTAAGACAGGTGACTAAAGTCGTACTCCATTAACATATCGAAGCTGAGAGGGAAAAAATAATGAAGTAAAGTTAACTAAGGCATATGTTGTTAGTGCATATGGCGGCGGTTCTCTATGTTAAACAAGTGTTATTATTCAGTGATATACTCCAGATATAGCATAAGAGTTAATTAATACTTGATTAAGACCACGTATGTAATCATTTTCTGTATATTTACTAGATTTTGATTCCGAAAATAATTTACCGTTATTTACTAATTGTTGTTTATTATATATTGATGATAAGATAGCCGGTGGCTGTTGATGATATGATAGTAGTATATATAGAAGTTAAGAATTGAGATGACATAACACATGAAACTTTATCTGGTTGATAAATGTCGAACGTTCAGAAAATGGACAAATGTCAGGTTCAAATAATTGAGAACATGAATGTGCTAAATATTAGTAAATAGCTATAATAATGGAATATGAAATTAGAACATCATTTGACAACGACAAAACGAGAAATAGAAAACATCGTATAAACCATGGAGACAAATATAAAATGACAACAACAACATATAAATATACGTATAGATATATATGTTAACAAAAACATATTGCATCTATGATTTCTTTTTCTAGAAATATGTTGTTCTCTTGGATTTGTTGTCGTTGGCTCTCTCTTATTAGCTAGTGATCTCTTTTAGATTGTGTTTGCCTCTCTTTGATGTAACGATCAACGACGACGTGGTTTGAGTTGAGAACATGTGATAAAGCACTTCACACCTAATCCAATATCCAAATGATAACTACCAGTCTACCATAAAGTTTTATATGTTACACATATTTAAATAATTATCACATTGTGTCTTATAAGTAGCTATATGCAATAAATAGAAAAAAATAGTCAGAAATAAAGAGAAACTATTATTTGATTCTATAATTTACTACTTCCTGTGATGAAAACTAGGTCCAAACCTTTCAGATAATTCGAGAGTCATAATTCAAATAGTATGTTGTAACATGTAACGAGTTATAGAAGTTCTCGTTCGATGGTATTCTGATAGTTTTAAAAAGATGGAAGTTAAGCTAAGTTTATTCCTAACTTTAATATAGAACAAATTCTAAGGATTCGCCATTAAATTATACTATATGATATCTCTTTATGAGTATCATATCTTAAATAAAAAAATAAATTAACTAGGTGGTAAATGGTATCCTACAGGAAGTGGAAATGATTTGTGATAACTTTTAGTTAAATAGTTAGTAAAAAAGGTGGAAATTCTCGTTCATTCTTTGTTTCTTTATTATTTTAAATGCGATACTAAACATTATACTTTTGTTACAGTTTTTTATAATATCTTAATATAACTTTTCTTAGTAACCAAAAGGCAAAAGTTTTTCATATTCATTTGCCATACAGGTCGAGATTATTTATGTTGGAAAGAAAATGAATGAATGTTCTATTAATGATTCATTCATAAGGTGCACAGTTCGGAAGAACATACCTTGGGTTACAAGTTCCCATTTGGGGTCATCAGAAATCCAGAGTGCGTTGTTGGGAGTATCATGTGACATGATTCATGTCTCTATTGGATTGCCTCTCTTGGGTTACATTCCAATACATCTTCCTTCCTGTGGTGTCCCGGTAATGTTTTTATCGAGTCAAAGGAGGAGCTCATGCCAAATCCATCTCTTGATTCCTTGGCATTAACCCACTAGTCAATTATAGAGGTCATCTCCCATGAACGTCAGGTCAGTTTAGTACTGCATATATATCTTGTTGTTTGACCCCTTTTACTTCTAGCTTGTTTTAGTTTACTTTACCCAAACTGATTTTTACGGTTCCATGGATAAGGCAGCGAGAGTTTAAGTTTTTAGTATACATCTTTCTCGAGTTTTTGGTGTTCTACTGGATTGTTGTTGAAACAACTATGACATATCCTGGGCCTCTTTACAAAATCTTTTTCTATGATAAGTTGCTAACTAAAAGCAACAATCCTTCTCAATATAGATTCTGGGCTTTTCGCAAGCCAGTGGAGATATTGGGCTTTGTCGACGATATAGAGTTACTTCGGATTATGATACTGGGCTACGACGACATCACTATTGTTTCCTCGGTTCAATTTGGTTCTAAGCTTTAATTCAATACTACTAGAGTCAATGTTTGTAATAAAATCAAACCTATAGGGGAATACAGTGATAAAAAGAATAAAGGAGTAAATGTGTAGTAATAAACATGAGCCAGTAATGAATATTGTAAGTAACAAAACCTCAACTGCCTCCCGACGATTTGATTACTTTTGTGAGTATATACTTTTGGACTTAAGCATTTGTCTGGGCATAAATTAATACTACGAAAAGACAAAGACATTCCTTCTGAATAAGAAATAGTGTTTATATTTAGTAATCAACTAACAAACCATTAAGCAATAAGTTAATGAAGCTGTGTAGATCTGAAACATAACCTTGGTGGGGGTCTTTATCCGGGTCGGGTCAGAGCCCTAACTAGAAAAAGGAGCGGAGGAACCAAAACAATGACGTGTAAAACTATGAGTGGCTAACGACACCTTCCCTTCCTTCTTCTTACTCTTGTCTTAACTCTCTTGCTTCAATTTCGGGATGCTTGACGTTGTGGATCGGAAAAGTCATATATCCTTTTAGGGTTCTCCGAAGTCAAACGCTATATTTCTGGTCACTGTTGTTCCAAAGATTTTATTTTATTGCTTTTTTCCCCCTTTCACTTTCGCTATAAGTAAACCTTACTCACTCCCGTGATCGATCCCCAGTGACCAACTTGGCCTCCCCTTTGATTTCGATTGTATAACATTTTCTTAAAAATGTGACGACGACTCTCATTTAAAGTTTTTTTTTGTTTTAAATGTTAGCCTTTGGTTTCTCGAAATTGGTGTGTTCAACTTCATTCTCTTGGAATAAGTTTTCGAGAGGTTTCTTTTTGGGAAATTGAAATTCTTTCTTAGTCGTGATCTAAGAGAGTTAAGCGAGCAATTTTCGACTTTACGACAACAATAATAATAATAATGTCGGCTCCACCGAGAGTTCGGTCTGTAGATTCCGATGACCGAGAACTCCGGTCAGTTCTTTGTCCCGCCGGTAATAAATTGCAGCAGAAAGCGTTGTCGAAGCCGGCGAAGAAGTCTGATAAAACGCTTACGGCGAAGAAAACGCTTCAGTGCTCTCCTCTGAGGAGAAACGGTATCTCCATGAACGCATCTTACTCTTCAGAGGCGTCGTCTTCGTGCGAGTCGTCTCCGTTGAGTATGGCGTCTACTTCGAGCGGGAAGAGGGCTTTGCGGCGGAACTCGTCAAGTACACTGAGAAAGAATGTGACGACGGAGGAGAGAGATGAAAAGAAGGCCGGTGATTGCTTCTCTGATGGTCGTAAAAGATGCCCTTGGATCACTCCCAAATCTGGTATTAACCCCTTTTTTCAATTCTTTCTTGTAATAGCAATTGTTTCCACATTTTTAGTTAAGCAATTCAAGTGTCAGTGTCCTCTGAGCTTGACTAGTTTTTAAAGATTTTGTGGTATTGAGTTTTGGAAGTTAGTGTTTAAATGTAGAGAGCTCAAATCTTTGTGATATAATGTACATCTATAGTATTGAACAAGGACCATAGAAACATGGTTAGTTTATTTGTCACTTCTCTATATTGATGGGCTTATGTCTTAGCATTTCCTCGGTTTTGAATCTTTTCCTCTGCTTTGACTCACTTGACCAGTGATGTTGTTTTCTTGGCTTGTTTCATGTTATTAGACGAATGTTACATTGCTTTCCACGATCAAGAGTGGGGAGTTCCTGTCCATGATGACAAGTACGTGGTCATCTCTCTCTCTCTCTTTTGCTTTAGCCCCTGAGAGATGCTCTTTGTGGATTTATTATGAACGCTCTTACCCGTTTAACTGTTTGCAGGAAACTTTTCGAGCTATTAAGTCTCTCTGGTGCTCTTGCGGAACTATCCTGGAAAGACATTCTTTCCAAAAGATACTTATTCAGGTAACTAGAACCCAAAGTCTTATGGTAACATCTTCTTCTTCATATGACCTCGAATCTTAAAAATGTTTTCGCTATGTTTAAACAGGGAAGTTTTCATGGACTTTGATCCAATTGCTGTATCTGAACTAACTAACAAAAAGATAACATCCCCTGAGATTGCAACCACCGCTTTACTATCAGAGCAAAAGCTACGCTCAATCCTCGAGAATGCAAACCAAGTTCGCAAGGTACTTTCAACATCTATAAACCTGATCATAGTTTTTGTCTATCAACGTTTTTGACTGGTATTGGTTTTTCTCCAACGCAGATAATAGTAGAGTTTGGATCATTTGACAAGTACATTTGGAACTTCGTTAACCATAAGCCTACTCAGAGCCAGTTCAGGTACTCACGCCAAGTCCCTGTGAAGACTTCCAAAGCAGAGTTGATAAGCAAAGACCTTGTCCGCAGAGGCTTTCGCAGTGTTAGTCCAACGGTTATCTACTCCTTCATGCAAACAGCCGGTCTCACTAACGACCATCTCACTAGCTGCTTCAGACACCAAGAATGCATATCCAAGGACGAGACCAGTTAGTAAAGGAAAAGAGAGCGAGAGAGAGAGAGAGAGAGGATAGATTAACACTTTGATGCTTAGTTTGTTATTCTGTGTTATTATATGTTTGCATTTGTACAGATGTTGTCAAAACTAGTAGGAGTTGCTAAGCCTGAATTATTGGAGATTCCATGGAAACCGATTACATGTTACATTTTCAGTATCGCAATGGATATATAATCTACTTTCTCATATGCCAAACTCAAATCTAAAAGCACTAATAGAATTTGAAACTAATCTAGCTGTTGTCGGTTTGATTCTGTTGATACAATCTCCCTGTAACAGCTGCTGCTAATGCTGCTGTGAAGTTAGGATCTTTTGTCAAGGAAGAAGCCATTTGCTCCACCAAAAGTTTATGAACTTCTGGAAAATCCATTCTTGATGGACTCCTCACTTTCTTGGATTCAGTCAGATCAACAGTAGTAGTCACAGGCTTAACCAAGTTACTACTTCCATTGGCTGGACCACCAGGAGAGATGTAGCGGTTTAAACCACTGTTTGAATCAATATGTGCTGGCATTGGATGGTTATGTTCACCCTCATAAGTAGCTACCAGCACGGACTGATCCTCCACACTTCTCTGAACCTGAAGACATAACCAAGAATCAATTTTAATATACAGGCCTAATTTTAGCAACGGTGTTATCATCATTATTGTCTTAATATAAGCTAGTAAGTACCTTCTTTTTGACAGAACAGCTTGGAGCACAAGCACATTTGAAGTAAGCTCTTGGAGATGGATTGTCTCTTGTCACTTTCTGTCCATATTTCCTCCATTGATACCCATCTTTCACTACCTATATTAGCAACACAACTTCTACAATCAATAAACTGTATATATATTTTGAAGTTTCTAAATATAGATACCATTCATGAAAAGGCTTACAAGGGTAGTGTCAGATGCTTCGGTCTTGTAATAAACCCTTGAGACTTTCTCCTTCACAACAGTCTCTTCTCTCTGCTTCTTACACAGATACTGATCTTCTTGATCCGTAGAGCTACTCTCCGATACTCCACCCATCACCGTTGAGCTTACTGCGTCATCTCTCGCAGGAGATTTGCGTTTCTTGGGAGGACTTGTTTGGTCTCTCTCAGCTGTATTGTTGCTCTTGTTAACATATTCCATCAGCTGTTTCCTCAAGACGTTGTAGTTTTCACTCATCAAAGTTAGCATTTCTGAGAGCTTCTTGTTGTCAGCCTTCACTCTTTTTAATTCGTCCATCAATGCAGTTGTCTGTATATCAAAGCATTTAGATATGTTACATGAAGTTAGTAACCAAATTTATTTATATATATCATAAATTTATACGACCTATGATATGCTGTTAGTCTACAATTAAATTTGAAGAACTCAACACATGGATTAGTAGCAAGCCTTATTTTGTTAAAATACAAGCATTTTTAATGATATATTATACGAAGTATATCTAATATATCTGTGTGGAAACAATATATTACATATATACGCGAATGTAAATATATTTATATATGTAATCAATCGTTATATGAAAATATTTAGATGTGTTCATAATAATGAAAAAAGTTTATGTGCTATTGATTTTTTTTTTTTGAAGATGCAATTATGCAGAGGATCAAGAATAGGGAGAGAAGCATACCTTGGAATCTTCTTCAACTCGCATACGAGTAATACCGATAGTGAGATCTAAAGAAGTATCGACCAAAGACGATGAATACTGGTCCATGGATATATGTATGATGAATCTTCTTGGATCTTGCTTTTTGTGGGTATGTATGTATATGCGTGGGAGTTCCGTTAAGCTGAGAGATTCGTAGTAAGAGTCGATCTTATTGGGTTCTTGTTCTCGGATTTGTGGAAGAAGGAATGATTTTTGATTCTATATATAAAGGGAGGAAACTAGGTGGAAAGAGCGACCAACATGTGCTCTTTTCATTTTCATGCAATAAACTATAGTATTGTCTTGGTCAAAAAAAAAAAACTATAGTATTGTCTGTCTTATCATATTCCACCTCTTACTTTTAGTCTTTAGACTCAACTCAACTCGTCTTCTCTCAGGTCCATACACACTCGCACACGTATTTGGTCCAATCCTTATCACCACATGACCATTTCCTTACTATTGTAGTAGTATGTTCTTGATTTTTATTTTATACTTTTGGTTGACTTTCTTTTTTCTTATCAAGACCGACATTTGGCATAGTTAGACGAAATATTTATATTGAGTCCCAATATTTTAAAAGTTAATAGAGTTGGATTATTTATTTGTGTTCCCAAAAAAAGATATGGCTTAATTGGTTCTTAACTTTTCATAACAATGTTGTAACCGCTTCTACTCTCCTTATAATCATAGTATTACTCTAAACCCGGATGGTAAATATTTAAACAATTAAACCACCATACATTAGTTCATTGCCTATTCTTTTGTATGAGTTTTTTTCTTTCTGTGAACTATATATATATATATATATATATATACATTAAAAGATTGAATACTTTATATATAGAGCTCAAACTTACCCATTATATGATTTTGGAAAACAGGGATTTGATGATTTTTATTGGTTAGTTGGTTTACCATACAACAAACATCCGCTATTTTAAATCCAGAGTTTCTGGTCATTTCTATTGTTTATGAACAGAACGAGCAAATAATGCTTAATCACAACCAAAATATAAATAAATAAACAAATAAATCATAACCTGGCTTAGTTGCTAAGGAGGCATATACCTATGCTAACATAGTAACGTGTGACCTAAACATTAGATAAAAATTAAAATGTCGTTTTATATAACCTATATACATAAATTAATGATTATGAACGGCATGTGCGTTAAAAGAAATGATATACTATTGACCAAAAGAAAAATAAATAAATGATAAAGTATAAGTTTATAGTAATGAAATGTAGTAAAGGCGTGCTTAATTAGAAAGTTTTATATTCGGTTTTAAGAAATAGTTGCTTGCGGTTGACTAAAACTTAGGGCTGGGCATTTTATCCGTTATATTTGATTCGATTCGTTATTCGTTTCGATTCGATCCGAAAATTCCGGATATCCGTAAACTTTCGAATCAAAGCAAATACTAAAATTCAATATCCGTTAAAATCGAAGCAAATCACAAATAGTAAAATTTTGGGAAGCGGATATCCGATCCGATCCGTAAATATATAAATATAT